TCTGAACCAAAGGTTATGATTATTTTTCTGAAATTTGAGGAGCTCCCTAACGAGAGTTAGTATAAAATATATATATATACACCTATGTATAATAGGTATAATATACATATATATGTCAAATATACACATATATTCTGTATATATGTATGTTCTATATGTACAATATGCACAATATACATATGCTACATAGATATTGTATGTAATATACACACTTTACTGAAGCTCTGGGTCTGGATGCTGCACGTTTTGTGGGGTGGCAATGCCTGGTGAAACAGAACCTTTCTGATACATTAGAAAGGGGGACCCTAACCCAAAACTGCAAAGCTGAGAGCTCCATTCACCCCATCAATGACAGCAGTCACTGTGCTCAAGCTCACAATCCTACTGGTGTTGCTTTGTGGCAGTGGGAAGAAATGGGATTCGAGTTTATGTAGACCTGTCTGGGGACAGGTTCGCAGGTGACATTTTTAAATGCCTGCCTGTGATGCAGGAATCTCAGGTGTTACTAGGATCCAAGACATCCTTGAAGAGGGGGTTTAGATCTTTTAAAGTCTTGGTTTGTGCCCTGTGCTGTGTGACCAGATGGCTGTAGTGCCTGCCTGTGCGGGAGCCACGTGCCTGAGGAGCCAGGATTGAGCAGCTGGAGGCTCTCTAGTGCTCAGCTTCTGGTCCTGGGAACATTTCCATATTGCCTGTAAGTGGATGGCTACAGAGTTCTGTTGTCCTTCTTCACTTCTCACTCCAGGGCGAGTTAGCACAGGGCACAGTGTGTACTTAGAGCCTTCGTGAAGTCTCTCCGTGCTGAGCACAGTAGCGTAAGAATTAGGCCAACAGCTGGGAAGTTAAGCACTAGACTTTGGTGAAATCTGGGAACAGGTGTCCCATTTTGATTTGGTTTTACTGCACAAATGCAGGGTAAGACCTACTTGTCTTACAGGTTATTATCTCTGAGTGATGAAGAGCTATAAAGCTCACTTCTTGTCTGGGCATAATTTAATATTTCAAGAGACCATTTGCATTAACGGAAGTCAGCTAGCCCCTTTTCAATTATGAATTACTTTGTAAGAATAAGGAAAATTATGTGTTTTTCCTGCTAAGTATCTTCATCCTTTGAGGATGCCTGTAAATTCACAGGAAAAGTTTATTCTTAAACTAAAGGTAAAAATTAAAACACCATATTATAATTTTAGCTTTTGTAAGATCCTCTTTGCTTTCTTCCTTTTGTAACTGTGCAGATCTAACTTTGGGATTTAGATTACCCTCACAGAAGATCAATTGGGTTTGCTCATGAGAAAACTAATTAACAAAGTCATTTTGAATGAAGTTGAGTTCAATTGATGAAATTGATTACTTTTTTTTTCATGAATGTAGTCAGATCCCAAAAAATTATGTGATTTAGGGAGAAGGATTACTCTTCAATTCAGACATGCAGTTTATGATGGGGTGGAAGACACAGAGAGTTTTGAGAAAGGAAATGCTTAGATCCACAGGGAACAGAGGGCATCCACAGTGTCACTGCTCCAGAGTGCCATGCATTTGGCTTGCACAGTGCTGGAGTGAGCAAGCCACTCAAAATTCATCTGCCTAAGGCAGAGCCATTTTCTGAAGGTGTCTGGTGTTTTTGCCCTTTTCCTCCCATCTCCTTGCCTTTTCCACTGCAGTTCCACAATCTGCAGCTGGTGCAGGGTCAGAGGTCTCTTCTGGAGGCGTCTCCACTGGGTGCTTTCTCAGGGATGTGTAAAGCAGGAGACTGGCTCCAAGAGGGATGGATGCCAGCTTGTCCATGCCAGGAGCATTGGTGGTTGTGGGGCAGGTGGAACCACCTTGGGCAAGTTGCCTCTCTCCAGTGGAGCCTTGCTGCTATTTCCTATCTGGTGAGGGAATAATATGTAGCAGGCACATGTGGCTTAATCTTCTGCTAACCGCACGCATTATCACATACCCAACAGTTGCTTCACAGTTGGTTGATATCAGTAACATTTCCTCCCTTATAAAAAGTGAAGGAGGAAACACAGACAGCTTTTTAAAAGAGGAAACTGGGGCTTTGTTTGGTGTGGGCTGGGGCTGAGGGGCTGGATGCTCAGTAGAGGGCACCACAGCACAGGCTGTCATCCCCCGCCTCTGAGCTCCTTGCGTTTTTCCCTTGCTCTCGTGAGCTGATGTAAATGGGCAGAGTAAATTTGTCGAAAACAAAATCGGAGTGTTAACCTTCCACACACATTCAAGTGTGCATCTGTCATTGTATTAGGTTACAGTAGATACAGGAAATCTTTAGTTAGGATTAAGTTGTACTGTTCAGCCATATGTTGTTTTTCTCCAGCAGAACAGTGTATAATATACCTAATAAAATCATGTTGAAGAAAACCAGATTTTGGACCTTGTCCAAATAAGAAAAAACACATGTTTTTTCTTTTGTAAATATTTTTGCCGTAACACAGGAAAAGAGAAATATTCTTCATATAGTATCCAGCGTTTCCTCAAAAATGACATTACTTCTTCTGCTTGCGATGTTTTTCAGTCTTGCTTCTTTAAAGGTCTAGAGATCACAAGCATTTACTGAAAGCTTACAAACAAAGATTCACATGGCTGTGAATAAAAAATGATTTTATTATCTCTAATTCTAATGTAGAGCCTTATCCTGCAGCCCCCTTAATCACATAAGTAGTCATTATGCATGTGAGCAATCTGGCCAAGAGGAGTGAAATCTCTGACAAGTAATGACTACTGATGGAATCAAGACTTGCAGGGTTTAGCCTCTCGTTCTTCTCGCAGGCGTGCATAGAAGGTCTGTTGTTCTCTTAAATACGCTCAGTCAGTTTATAGGAATTATTACCGTGAGCCGTGACTCCTCCAGCAGCTCCACAGCAGCGAGTGCTGATTTACATCACTGTGAGCACAGCCCTGCCTGCACTGGCTGCAGCCAAAGTGTTGAAGAAGCACCGGGAGCGCGACCGCTCACGTCGAGACTGCGCACGCGTCCAGCCTCCACGAAGACATCCGAGTATTAATGTTGTGACACTCCTCCCTTCCTCTTGCCTTGTCAATTTGTTAGGTGGTGGCTTGTAATTTTCATTTTTTAAGTCCTTGAAGCCAAGTATGCTTTTTAAATGTACAGCCCTTCACACAGTGAACCCCCAGGACAGCAAAAGCCTCAGAGAGCAGCTGCTGTACCAGCACTTAATACTACTAGTACCATCTGGTGATAAATGTATGGGTGTTCCCTTGAAGAAAGAGTATTTTGAACAGGAAAGCATAACACTTATGGGTAGTGCAGAATTTATTTTTCATTTTGATTGCTTGAAGCATGCAATTAAAAAGCAGTCTAACCTGTCGGTTCAGACAGCAGCAGTTATTTTTTAATTAGGAGAAAACAGAAATTCTTCAACGCTACAGCCAGATAAAAGGTGTTTGTGTATCTGCGTTCAGGATGGTTTTAAACAACTGGCAAAATGCATTGAGTGCTTGGTCTCAATGTGAACACATAGTGAACACACACATATACATATATGAGTATATGAGTGTGGGTGAGATTAGCTTTATGGACATCTTTCCACTTCTGCACCTTGATTTCTCTTCACTCCCTTCACCTCCAGATGGCACTATGAAGCAGAAAAGAAAATTACTGTGAAATAATGAGTCCAATGTAAAATAAAATTGGAAATTGAATTATAGCTGCAGAAAAAGGACAGTAGCCTTGAGGTCCTGATCAGTCTGTACTCTTATCACTTTTGTTTGCTGTTCCATGTGTTAGGTTACTGCCGAGTTAATAACAGTGCTTTAGCAGTTCAAGGCTTAGCAGAATTGTACTGGACATGAAATAAAGCTAAAATGAATTTGTGTCCAATATCATTGACATTAGTGCTCATTACTTCTCTGGTGTAATGCCTCAAACCATCTAAAATCAATTTTAAAGATTACCCGTTATTTTATAAAGAAAATAAAATACATTTCAAACAGCAACAGAGCTGTAAGTGTGGTGTAATTTCATGAACAGTTAGTTACTCGTGTTTTCACTGGTTGGCAGGAAACTTTTGAAGGTACAGCAAGAGGAAAATCTGTGAAACTAAATGCCATTCACAGAATTTAATGACTTGGCTTTTTGCTCCTGTTACTTGGCATTAGACACGCAAATGTTAGAATTGCAGAAATGTGCATCCCCTCACAGTGTCTGGGAAAAACAGTAACTGTAGTTACTCTACGGGAAACTCCAGCACATTATTTTTCTTTTGTTTTTCTTCCTTTGCTTTTTCTTTTTAAGAGAAGTAGAAGGAGATATTTACTCTCCCGATTGCATAAACTATAAAAGTGGATTTATTGTGTGGAATGATACCTCTACTTTTTGTTGCAATGTTTGTCTTTGTTTGTAATGTGGGTTTATCAAGAGTCAAGGCTGAAATCCTCTTAGAGTGGCTGCTGAATGATGGCTTTTCAAACTGTAATCAGGAAGCTGTTGCTGTCAAGGTGTGTAGGCCTGTAAATTCTGTTTGGAATCATTTTTACACAGCCTTTGCTGGATTTTAGACTACAGAGAAGTTTTTCTGACTATTAATACATTACACACATTGATTTTACAGATGTCTATTTGCTATTAAAATTGCAAGAATTTGGATCGGATTAAAAAGGCTTTCTCTATGTATGAAAGTGTGCTTATTTTGAACTTCAGCAAAATCTGATCTTTCTGAGACTCAAATTTCACCCACACCTGGTAGATCATTAGGGTCTAACATTGGAGACATTTCCTCATTGGAAGGTGTCAGAGTTGGAGTTGTTTGGTGGAGACTGTGTGTTCACCTAGGCAAGTGAAATGTGCATGCACATGAGTATCTCGTGGTTTCATGTAGATATCTCTTACTACTTATTTTGACAGATTTTTATGGGCTTGAATGAAGCCAGAAATCCTCTTGTGTGTTTATTAAATGTTATTGTAACGTTGGCTGCTTTAGAGAACAGTTTTCAGAATGTATTTGTGTTTAAAACGTTACAGTCCAAACACACCATTAATCTTATTCAAGAGAAGGAACTAATCAGTTACACTTTTCATTTTAGTCAGAGTACCTTTAAAATGCAATATTTCTTTCTGCTCATATTAGTTCTTACATTACTGTCATCTCTTATTTCCTGTTGCACAGCAATGACTGTTTTTGGTAAAAATTGTAGCCTAAACGGGTATAAATAGGTAAGTATTGACTCTGAGTAGCTTTGAGTTGTTTAAAGATATTTTAATAATTTTCTGTGGAGCATTCTTTGGCACGGCCGTAGCCTCTGATGTCGTTACTACATGAGTAAAATGACACGCACAAATTGAGGAAGTTTCTTGTTAATCATTCTAGGATTTGTATAGTAAAGAATTCCTTCTTTAAAGAAATGCTGAAGAAAAGTTGTGTATCTTTTCTTTAAAATAGTGATGATGATCCTCAATTCTCAGGCCTTGAAAAAGTCTCTCTACAACTTTGTGTTACTGGAATGTATTATATTTTGTTTACTGTCAAGTGTTTTAAGTAAATACTCTGTGCTAAATTTATTTGGAGACTTAATTTAAAATATATATGAACCAAATTTTAAAACAGATTTTTGAAAATAATAGCTGGAATTAAATAAAATTTAAGAGTTCCTGAAAACTATCGGCAAGTAAATTAAAACCAGCATTCAATATTGGCATTTTCATTCTAGCTTAAATATTTATAACAGTGTAAATAATTTTGGCTAGTGTTGGCTCAGTTGTTGATAGTTCTAATGTTCCACGTGTTTGAAGTCTGTTTTGCCTAAGCACTGTTTCTTTACTCCACCAAACAAATTGGTGACTTGTAATTTTTATAAAAGTTTGGTTATTATCAAAAAAGAGACCAAATTTTTGTAAGAGTATATGCCTCCAACTGCCTAAAAATCATTAATTGATCCATGTGGTAATAGCAGATGGTTAAATGGAAGAAATGTCCTTGAAGTTATTCTAATAGCAGATGTGCCTAACTATTAGCTTCATGTTTTTACTCACCTAAAATCCCAAATAATGTAATAAGAAAGTAACACACACCTAATCATTTTAATAGGTTCGTTGCCTTCTGTTACTGATTTAGGATTCATCTGAAAACTCTAAAAGCAGGACATCATTTAGAATTTGTTCCGGGAAAACACTTTAGAATATATGTGTGTATGCGCATGCAGGTTATATGTAAACATTTGCCTTTTTTTCCCTTTTCCAGGATCCTACAGGATGCATTACTGCTCTCAGATAGCAGGCTTCACCTCTTCTTACAGACTCAGCTAAGCCCAGAAGACATGGAGGCCTGTGTGTCTGGGCAGACCAAATACTCTGTGGCTGATGCGATTCACAGTTTCGCCTCTCTGAACAGACGTTTTCCTATAGAAGATGAAGAGAGAAAAAAAGGAAAAAGCGATGCAGACTCTGATTCAGAGAGGTGAATTCTGTATATCCTTACTTTCTGAGATTATATATCCATACATACACACGCACATGCTTCACTTTTTTGTTGATGTAATACTAAGATAATGAAAAAATTAATTGACTGAGATTTTATTGAGCTGTGACAGCTCATCATAGAAGTCTTCACACACACCTCCACACTGAATTAATGAATGCAGTAGAAATTCAATTATCTGCATTCTGATTATGTGAATTTCATTTAGTCAGACTTGAATTATTCGCGTTTAAATTATCTTGCTAAAAAAATATCCAACTGCACTCCAAATGGCTAATTAAAAGTCCAAATTTCCTGTCTCTCTTTGTGACTGGAGATAATTAAAGTTCTCCTCTGTTACTCAGGCTTTGAGTGTGTTGTGAAAACCAATTTCCTCCTTTTATTTTTTTTTTCCTCCCCCTCTCTCCCCTTTTCTGCAGTTCATCCTCCGGGCTCGGACCTAGTGATGACAGCATTTCATGTGGATGTAAAGCAAGCCCAGCTTCTGAAGAATCATGAAAAATCATTCCCGTATTGCTACCTTAAGGACAGTTCAGAGCAGTTTCTGCTTTGTTTACTGGTTATGTGTACCACACAAACAGGACTGTCTGGTAATGTGTACCTAAAAGACCCATCGTTAATGCAACCACATGCCCTTACAAAATACTCAAAACAGACCTCGACCCTATCTTTTTGGTGATTTTTTTTTTTTTTAATATATCTTGGTGCAGGTCTACATGCTACCTATTTATGTTTTTGTGACTGTTAAAATCTCAGTATTGGGCAAGTCGTGCTCTTCTGACATACGTGGCAGTTAAATTATTTCCTCAGTGAGTGTATGTCTCGGATTTGGAAAATAAAGTTCGCTTAATTCCTCATCTTAAAAGTTGGTATATCATATCAAACATATTCAAAGCATCTTTTAGTAATTTGCATCAGAGAAGTTTCATCTTTAGAAGTCATTTGACATTGGTGATGAAATTACACACCCCACCAAGGTACTCACTTTTTAAAGTAGCTCAGCAACATCAGCAAAACAACATTTGTACAAACTATATACTGCTGACAATTTGAGATATAAATACATCTTCCTCTGGTCCTTCTGTAATGTTTATGGAAAGACTGGTTTTATCATGCGTAAGTACTGAAGGCAAAAATTCTTCAGCATGGTTGCTTAGAAGTTTAGAAATATAAATAAAAATTACATCATTTCTAGGCTTGCTGGAGATTCTCAGCTCCCAAGGAATTATGGTTACTCATTCCCAGTGAAAATCCTGGATGAGGTCCATCGAAACCAATGGCTGAATTTTGCACTGACCTCGCTAGGGCCAGGATTTCACCCAATGTGTTTTACTTTAGGCTCTATATTTGAAGGTGCTGGTTGAGGTGTTTTAGTTCAGCAGCTGAAATGAGGAGTATCTCCCTCTGTGAGATGATGATAATCACATAGCTGTAACACCCTGCATGGATGTGGCCCTCTCCACTCCCTGTGAGTAACAGGAGCTGCTGATTTCATTGTGGCTGTAGTTACCACGCTGGAATATTGACTTTTTCACAAACAAAAGGCAGGCTTGAGCACAACTTCTTAACCACCAACACTTACTTTGATTAAACGTCAGTTTTGCTCTTTATTGTTCACAGCAGCTGCGCAGTGTCTTGTCTCAGATTCTGTCAAAGGACTGTGTTTCACTGTGGTGTTGTATTTATATTTGACATTTAACTGCTATTAAAAAGAGCTAGGGGGTCTGATCACCCTAGCAAAGCTCCCATTAACTTCAGTGCAGTAGTTACCGGTCTAGAAATGGATATAAATACATGCCTTTCTTTTTTCCTTTCCTTTTAAAAGAAATCTGTGGTTACTTTCCAAGAAGGAGCATTTTAAACCTGGGAATTACAGAAACAATAGATTATTAAATAGACAGCTAGCAAGGGGTAGCATAAACATGTGTGGGCATGCTTTTTTAAGCATCCAGCTGGGAATCTGTGTAATTTTAGAAACAGGTTTTAATAGCCTGAGAATAACGTATTGTAGGTAAAGACTTCAAGCCACTGTATTTTGTTGATGGTAGCACTTTGTAAGATAAGTATCCGTGTTTCTTTTTGCTCGGTCTCACTGAATTGCACAAATGTATCTCTTTACCATCTCAGCTTGTATGTGAGTCAGCAGCAACGCTATTTTTAATGTAAAAATTATAATGTTTAATGTTTAATTTAAGCAACAAGTTATCACTAAAAGTAGCTTAAAAATAGCTGTTACTGCCAGTCAGAGATTTTGATTGCTTGATTTTTATTTTTTTTAAGATAGCAGATTAAAAAATTGTTTAGCAAATTTATTTAAGAAGTGGGAAGGATTTAAAAACAAAAACTGGAATAATGTTGAGAAGGATATTACCATTTTTATTTAAGACAATGTAGGTTTTTCTTTTGTTTCAAAAATTGAGCTAAACTCTTGAAGCACTTTACAGTTCTGGCTTACTAACACGTCCTCAGTACCTCCAAAAATAACAGAAACACAAGATTTGGGGAGCCTTTGTGGCTGATTTTATTTTTTAATTCGAGGAGCTTATCAGTATGCCAGCAAGCATTTTCCAAATGAAGATGTTTCTGAAATAAATATTTGTTTTCTAATAGCTCTGTTGTTATTCTCTTATTTTCTTCATCATACTGTTAAAAAAATCTAAGACTACTATAACTTTCTTCTCAGCTTTGACAGAAATTTGTTCAAATATTTATCTTTTGAATGTTGTTTGTGTAGCTAGTGTTACTGGAATTTTTCTTAGTAATGGGGGAGGGAAAGTACTCCATGCTCTCTAGTATGTCTCCTTCATGTTATCAGCTGTATATAATCACATATAAAGGCTTTAAGGCATTTTGTTTCCTTGGAATATTAAATGTAACTTTTACAAATGTAAATGTTAAAAAATAATTTTAATGTCTTTTGTTACTTTAATGATTTGGTAATTTTTCAACACTATGACATACAGTTTGATCAGCTGATCACTGGTATTTTGATTCTCGTTTTTTAGTTTTGAATAATGCTGACATTTCCTGCTAGCTTTAAAAAAAAAAAAAAAAAAGGATAATACCTAATTTATAAATTAGAAGTAGTAATCAGATTGCTTTATATCTTATTGCAATAATTCTGCATTCAAAGCTTCTCTTTTGCTTATAGCTTTACATCCTTATTTTTATGATGATTTCTTAAAAGCTTTTAAGTAATTAAATAAAACAAGATATTACTTTCTAGCTCATGTTTAAACCTGACAGTGAAGTTTCCTTTATTTCAATATAAATATCCTGATCACTTTATGACTTACCATGTATAATTTACTCTTCAGTTATTTTTGTTATATGTGCATATAGACATAAATATATGTATACATATATATAGTATATATGTGTGTAGATATATATATATACTGTGTACACACACACTTTGTTGTGTTTGCGTTTGCACTTCTTTACGTTTTCTACAAAAAGAATAGCAAAGAAACCCCACAAAGATCGTGTGTTTGGAGTGAAAATTGTTGTTTGTATAGCAATGTATTTCTATAAGCACTGAGGGAAATTTATACTCTAAATCCCACACTGTAGAATGGTGCAAACTTTGGTGTCCACGACTTTTTTTGACTGAATTTGTTTTCCAGATGAATATTTAAATTTTATATAATTACTGTGAATTATTAAAACAAAAAATGTTTGTGACTCGCTCTGTTATACACGGTATGGATAAGAAGAAGAATAAACCTTGTATGGTCCTGTGTCGTTTCCCTATAATTGCAGGAATAGGCTCAGGGCTAAGGACCGGGGGCTTTACTTTTCTTCCCTAGCTTCTACAAGGTAGCAAAAATGTAAATAACAATTTCCAGTCTCAGACTGATTCTTTTCAAGAAAGGCCTAAACGCTTTAGGAAATTATTACACAATTATTCTCTGCTTCGGTGTCAAAAATGAGCCATAAGGGGTTAAGTCGCTTCTTTGCCTTCTGGAACAAAACCTCCTTGGAAATTAATTCAAGTGGCTTTGTGAAACAGAAATCGAGCTGTGGCCTTTGGGCTCGCTTTCGGCTTGCCCGGGGATGCTGCACAGCCGCGGGTGCGGCTGCTCCCTCCGGAGCGCTCCGGCTGCCCGCGGGCTGCGCGCCGCTCCGAGCGGCGGGCGGGCGGGCGGGCGGGCGGGAGGACCCAAAAAAGGGGGAGAAGGGGAAAAACGAACAAAACAACCAGCGGGGGGAATACAGGGAAAAGGACGGCAGCATCCCAGATCGCGCTCCCCGCTGCGCCCCGGCCCGGCCCTTCCTCGCGCCCTGCCCTGCCCCGGGGCCGCGGAGCGCGGCGGGGCGAGAGCCTTACCTGGGGCCGCCGCGCTCTCCGCCCCGCTCCGCCCCGCGCCCGCTACTCGGGGAGCGGGGCCGCCCAGCCTTCATCCGGTAACTCCTGGCAACCGCAGCCCATGGCAACGGCGGAGGGGGAGCCGGGGCGGGGGCGGCCGCCCGCGCTGCCGCAGCGCTCCCTCCCTCCCTCCATCCATCCCTCCCTCCCTCCATCCATCCCGCCTCCCTCCATCCCTCCCCGTCGCCCCCGCGGAAGGAGGGGCCGCTCCCGCCCCGCTCCGCTCCGCTCCCGCCCCGAGCCGGCCGCCAGGGGGCGCTGTGCGCCAGCTGGAGGTGCCGCGGGGCGGGGCGGGGTCGGGGTGGAGCGGGCGCGGCCCCGCAGCGGGAGCGCGCTCCGCGGGCGCGGCCTTTCCTTCCGCGGGGGCGGCCGAGCGCTTTTGGGGTTATTTTTGGGTTTTCGTGATCCCCACGCTGCGTCCCCCCATCCCTGAGCGCCTCCCGCAGCCGCGCAGCTCCTTAATCGGGCGAAACGGGGAGGCGCCCACCGCGCCGCGATGGGAGCCGGCGGCGGAGCGGGGCCTGCACCTGCCGCCCCACAGGAAAGGCCCCGCCGCCCCCCACGCACCGACCCCACGGCTCCGCCGCCTTTTGGAAGCACGTGTTACTATTTATTAATAAATTTATTTATAGTTTAATACAAAAGCAATTAGGGGCCAGCGCAGAGCCCAGCGATGACATTTGCCGGCCTCAATGGCAGGCAGGCTGCTCTTAAATGGAGGAGGCCTTTCTGTGGAACAGCAAGAGCCAAAAGGGCTTGTGTCACCCAGTTATGTAAGACACAATCTCGCCTGAAAATGCACAATGAATCGGGAAGGATTTATGTAATTAATTGACCAGTCTTAACCTGTTATCGTGATGTAAGGAATTTGGAACTCATTAATTTGGGCCCTGACAGATTTCATATTAGAGCTGGCAAATATGGATTGAGCCTCTTATTCTTGTAGCAGCTGGAATTTCCATGACAGTGAGGATTAGTGAAGAAGACCTATTGCTCAAGTCAAACTGCCTCTTTTGTAATCAGCAGCCCTGCTCTGCATTAAAGGGGTAATGGGAAAGAGGGAAAAAAATACAGAGAGGAAAAAAAAAGGAGAAATGTATTCATGTATAGAGCAGAGCAAGGGAGGGAGAAGGAGGATGTATCCTGGACAGCACAGGCATCAGAGTGGGGTTTTCCCAGATCCATGGCAATGAAAATGCCACAAAGGCAGCCCTGGGGTATGGAAAGGGAAAGAGCCTGGAGGACAGATCTGTGCCATCACCATGGCCTTGCTGCCTCTCAAACCGACCTTAAGATGGACCCTCCCAGGAGCCACTGAGTGCCTGAGGTCGCAGTGCCAGAGCTTCTGGGAACAGGGTCTGGGCTGCCAAGAGCTGCAGGGACTTAGGAACAGAAGGGTTTGGGTCATGATCCTGGAGAAGGCAGGACTGGGAGGTAGCTGTCTTTCAGCCTGGAACTGTGACACCCTCCCCCACAGGGAAAAGGATGCTCAGGGTGGGTAAGGTCTAGATCCAAGGATAAGGACAGGCCTCCATGCAGCCATGACAAGGGTGACTGCACATGATATGCCTCAACTTCCCCAGTACAAAGACATGAAAGAAAAATTTGTCTGCTGCTTTGCGACAGCCTCTCAGTTTGGTTTTTCACGGTACCTTGGTGGGGAGTGCACTCATCCCATTATCATTTCTTGGCATTAATGTAGTAGTAATAACATTGAGTGCAGTCTGTATGGAAACAGTCTAGGTGCTTATATTTTCTCTCCTGGCAACCTGTTAATGACTAGCCTGGTAGCGAATACATACAGTTGTTAGCAATGACATTAAAAGGTTTTCCTGAGACCTCATCATATTTCTACATGCTAAGTGTTTACCTACTCTGGTGATAAATGCCATGCAGAAATGGAGGAGTGTTTTTCCTTTTCTCATTTTTTCCTTGCTTTATGCCATTTGGCAGTTGAACATTTCCCCTTCACAATTGCTTAGATCCACCATTTGCTGCTGTGAGAAGGGAAAAGTCGTAAAACAGGAGTATGGACAGTAAAACCACAATTGTTTGCAAAGACTCTAAAGTCAAATGCAGATTAGAAATAAAACACAGCTAATAAGGCATATGTGGCTCTTATCCTCTGGACATCTTTGGCCATATACATATTGGCCTTGATGTCCATTAACGTAGGGATAATTACTGAAACCTGGCACTAAAATGTATTCAGTCCTAAATTTAGGCCAACAATCTGGATCATAGCTTTGATCTTCTTAATCTAAAAAAAAAAAACCAAAAAAACTCAGACCTATAGATTGCAATTGAATTGTTCTCCTTCAAAGAATATATTTTGTGTTACTGTCTCCTGATACATTAAAAAATCTTCACACATGTCACTTATCTCATATTTTCCCAAAGGCAGGGAATCATTTATCGTTTGTGACAGCACCCCCAACTCAACCATTGTCTCACTCAGTTTATCTTTGCTTTTCTGATGATCAGGAGCAGCAAACCACCCAGGTACTGCTACAGCTATAGGTTTTGTCCAAATGTTTCTCTTGTTAAAATGTTGATCAGGCACATCTCATTTCCATGTTAAATGTGCCAGCATATGCCTGAGTTTAGAATTATTTCAAACAGCAATAAAAAAACATTTTAAAGTTTAAGTGGATACTGTGATTACAAGTATTTACACGTTCTCTGGTTTCTTCCCATGGTTATATTTAAAATATATGTGAGTGGTAGAACTTTCCTGTGATACCCATGATTTTGAGTGCTTGCAAAATTACAAAATTACTTCTATAGTGTCTTCTCTGTGTCTTCTCTTTTTTTTTTTTTTTTTTTTTATGCTTGTAGGTAAGAAAATGGTCATCAGATGAGATTAATATTTTGTCAGATTCTTACACTATTTTATTCTTGATGGTTAATGAGAAGGCAAGGAAAAAAATTCTACAGAAAAAAAGCCCCACAGTTAAGCCTTCAGAACAAAAATGTATTTGCTTCAGTTATTTTGTTACTTAAAAGAATACCAGAGGTTTAGTTTTTGTGCAAATACTAAATGCAAATTTCACAGTATAAGTGGTTAAGATGTATCAAGCACTGATTCAGTTGAAGTCAATGGTAAAAACTTTCTGCTGCTTGTGTGGGGGTTAAAAAATTCTGTTTTCTGAATGACACTGAGATGAAAAATGACATTTTTGTTGGAACCAATAGGTGGCCTTTTTGAATGTGCTGTAGTAAATTTTTTCCTGAAAACAGAAAAATGTTTGCTCTGGAATAGAGAACATCTTAAAACAGTCATTTTCAAATACAGTGTTTTTTGTTTGTTTGTTTCTGAAAGACAATATATAGATAAACTTCTGGATTTATTTCTTATTTTTTTGGTGTACTTATGTTAAGTCATGGGTCTTCAAATGCTCGGAGAGTGGGTTGGGTTGGAAGGGACATTAAAGTTCCAAACCCCCTGCTATGGGTAGGGACACCTCCCATTAGACCAGGTTGCTCAAAGCCCCTTCCAACCTGGCCTTGAAAACTCCCATAGAGAGGTTGTCAACA